ACAAACATGTAAGAAATGTATGTCTGTTGTGAACTACTTATATACCAATATCCTGGCATAAGAATCCTTTAGGAGACTTAGCTAAAGCAGATTCTTTTAATCCGTCTCCCAGTTGCCTGTCATTAGGATAGTCTACAGCAGAGAGAGATTAATATAAAAAAAATTCTTTAATCAGCTCACTACTTTCTAACTCCTTAACACCCAAACCATCCCCAACTAAAGATTCTAAGAATTTCTTACCATTTTTGCTTTCCTTCAAAATCAAAGAAGCTTGGTTTAGGAGTATTGCAATTTCCAACTTTGACCTAAATGAGGGGGCAAAAAATCAAGAACTTATTTTTCAAAGAAATGTCTGAGAAACTCTTTTCAAATTTATTAGGTATATTTTGTAACTATAGGTTACAAACAGTTACATCTATATGGAGTAACAAAATTTAATATTCTTTGCAAAAGCAAACAAAAAAACCCAAACAAATCAAACTTTACATAAAGCTGCTTTGGCTTACTGCATAAAACAACTGTTACCTAATACCGTGATACAGAAATAATATGAGTGACAAACAATTGAATTCCTAAATTAGACTAATTATACATAAGACAAATTATCAATATAGACTATGTACTCTTTATTACCACTTATAAAATAGCTTTTAAACATGCAATTAACAAGCTTTAAAGTTCAGTTTATCAGAATTCATAAGATTGTTCCTTCATGCTGAGTCTCATAACTCTATTAGCATTTTATCTCTCCAAAATTCCAGGATAAAGTATACTATTTTAAAAGTGTCCAATTATGAAATTCATTAATATACATTTCGATGCCAAAAGCCATTCAAAAAAATTTCAAAGGTTCTCAAGAACAATATAAATTCTATTTTTCCACAATAATCTTCTCTCGTTTGTGGTCAATACTTATTTTTAAACCTCAAGTGACATTTGTAGTTAAACTATAGAGTGATAATTTTCATTGTGAATAAGCATAAACGAAATTCATACAAGTGCAGATTCATTATACAGCCAGATTCCCACTGCCAGAAGAAATCTCCCTTCCTTATGAACTCTTATAGCACTTACTCTACATATTTCTTAAGGTACTTTTCACTTTTTCTACCTTGTGTTAGAAGGTTTTATGTAAAGCCTCTATTAGAACAGAGCCTCTAACTGTTCTTAACTCACCCACAGTACTTATCTACTTCTCAGGGACCTTCCCACTATCTCCTATTACTCTTAAACACTTGAATTTTGCTAAAATCTAACTGATGCCTTTATCTAACCAGAATGATATACTTACTGACTTAGGGATTTTTAGTTTGGTGCTTTGCTCGTTATTCCACTCACCTGAAATGCCTTCTCTTCTTCACTCAGCTTTTCAAAATGCTACATCTCCTTCCTGTCCCATTCAAAATTCAGACTCTAAGAATACTTTTAATCTACAATGATCTCATCCACCTCTGAATTTATACGAATTGTCACCTCTGTAATTTGCTTAGTAATTCATCACATGGCTCTCTGGCTGTTATTAAAATGTATACTTACATAGGGGCAGCTCTGTTATGGTGGGATGGAGGGAAGAAAGGGTAAGAGAGAAGGAGCTGCATTTCTTGAACAACCACCATGTACCAAATACTTCACGGATGTTATCTCACATGAATCACACAATAATCCCACAAGGTATGCCATTACAACTCATTTTATAAATTAGGATAGAGAAGCTCAGGAGGGTTGTCTCAGTTACACATTAGTAAATCGGGAATTAGTCCGGAATTAGCTGTTTGATTCCCAAGTTCAATCAATCTTTACTATATATCATTCTGAGTTAAACGCTACAGTCCGGGCTTCAGTCTGGCATCTGAAATCACATTAACTACTGGATTATGAGAAATATGAAATGAGATAAACTATACAAACTATACAAAGGCTTCA